CCCGCCGCACCCGCACGTTCTCCATCAGCCCCAGGTACCGGATCTGCGCCAGCACCAGCTCCGGCGTGAAGAGCATCGCCGTTTTGGTCTCGTTGGGCTTGATGCACCTGGGGAGGGCAGCGGTGGGCTGGGGGGGTCCCGCAGGTGCCAGGGCTGGGGTTGGGCCCCGCCCAAAGGTACCTGATGTAGTTGGGATTCTTGGAGTAGAGGTTCTTCATCAGCGTCGCCACCGAGGCCTTGAACTGGAAGCCGGCAGTGGGGGGCAGCTTGAGGGAGACCTTCTGGGGGTCTCCCTCAGGGAAGAGAGAGCGCAGCAGAGTGTGCCGGGCGGCCCACATGGCCTGCGAGAGGTCGCGGAAGAGCAGGTCATTGTTCTTCTCGATGAAGCCCGTCACGTTGTAGGTCACCTGGGCACGGGAGCGGGGTCAGCACCCAGCAGGGTGCAGGGGGGCCACGCTTGGCGAGGGAGGGGGAGTGAGCGGGTTACGGTTCAGGGTCTCCGTGCCCATTCCAGTCCGGCCCTGCAGCTCCCATGCAAAGCTGGGAAGAGGACCCGGGGGTCCCAGCTGCTCCCAGTGGGGCCGGGGCTGTGGCTGCCCACGCCCACTGGCGGACCTTGCCAGCGTAGTGGTGGATGCGGAAGCATTGCGGCAGCAGGCTGGCGTCCATGATGTGCCGGGCGTTCTGGGTCTCCTTGCTCTCGTAGTGCTTGTGGGTGGCGAAGAGCTGGTTCAGCTTGGTCAGGAAGGTGTCCTCGTTGACCACGCCGGGCCGCAGGCACTCCTCGTCCAGCATGGCCAGGATCCCGCACTTGCTCTGCGCAGTGATGGACGGCGTCACCTCAAACCGGCCCTGGCCCCGAGCTGTGACTCCGTCAGACCAGGGCCGCTCCAGGCTCTGCTCAGCCCAAACTCGTGCCGGGTGCGATGCGGAGGAGCTGGGACCTCAACCTGGGACCCCGGCACTGGGGGGGCAACTCACATTCTCGATCAAGTTGCAGATGATGCTGTTGTCAAAGAACTCCACTGGGGTCCACTGGATGCCCTGGGAGCAGAGAAGGGTCAGATGCACAGACCTCCCAGACCCTGCCCCACAGACACCCCCCAGCAGATGTGGGGCAGGAACCGGACGTCCGCCCACGGGGACAGGGATCTCGAATCCCTCCCTGCCTTCCTGCTATTGAATCTGCTCCCTGCGGGGAGCGGGGCGAGGGAGGGACGTGCTGCAGAGCTGTCTCCGGCACTTCCCCATCCCCAGGGGCCGAGGCTCCTTGGGCCAAGCTCTGGCACAGGCAGAGGGGCTGCATCCAGCCCCCAGCCTGACTGGCAGAGGCTGGGGGTACCTCTCGGACATATTCCTCCTGCTCCTCCTTCAGGGTCATCAGGATGAAGATTTGCTGCAGCTTCTCGTTGCAGTAGTTGATGATGAACTGCTCAAAGCTGTTGTCCTGCGAGAGAAGGGTCCTGCATGGCAGGTCATGCCCAAGCCCCCAGCCCTGCCCCATGTCCCACCTGCTGTCCCCAACACCCGCCCCCCCCCAGCAGCAGGATGGGGCTGGGTGGGCCCTGCACTCACCTGGAAGATCTCAAAGCCGTAGATGTCCAGGACACCCATCACTTTCCTCTGCTTGCCTGGCTTCACCTGGGGAGACAGCAGGGTGCTGAGCTGTGTCCTGCCCACGTGTGGGGTGGGGGTCCAGGGCCCCATCCAGGAGGGGGGAGCTGGTGCCTGTCATCCCGGGCACTCACCTGGATGCTGGTGTTGATGCGGTTCACCAGCCAGTCAAAGAGGCGGCTGTAAATGTTCTTGGCCAGTGCGTCCCGGCCATAGTAGCCCTGGGAAGAGAGGCGAGGGGCTTGTTCCGGCTCCCGGGGGGGCTGCTGGGCATCACCCCCATGGCAGGGGACGGTCCCGCTCACCTGGGGGACGCTGAGGGTGGTGAGCACCATCTCATCCCGTGCCTTCACCGTGCGGGAGCACAGCGCCTGCTCCAGCACGCCGGGGTCCAGCCCGATCAGGTCGCAGATCTCCTGGAGCTCTGTGCAAGGAGACAGCAGTGCCGGG